GATTTTGGAATTGCTGGAGATATCTTGATGTGCTATAGGAGAATTTTGCTCAGATAGGAACAATTTATGGCTCTGTTGAAAAGCATCTAGGGACAAATTTGCAGATTTTTAAAGTCATTTTTTCCCACATTAACTTGTTATATTTCAACTTCAGTGTACTTTTTGCTTTTTGTCTTCAAAATAATCCACCGATAATTAAATACCAACAATAAATTAAAACAATATATTGATAACATTTTTAAACATGTAACAATTTAAACAAGTTAAAACGTTGTAACAGTTAAAACCATTTTGGTGATAACTGAGTTCTGAACAGCCTGAGAGCTGAGTGAGGAGCATGCGCATTTGATCACCTGTGCTCACTTGCCATACTTCAGACAACCTCAAACTACTCTAGTCACAGGTGAAATTTTTGAAATAGTTTTTTTGAATATGTAATTTGTTTAAAAATAGAAAATGGAAGAGTCACCGTTACTGCCTTCAGTGACATGAACTTCCTGGGATGCCTTCACGAATCTCAGGGGCCAGGGGATGGTTCCCAAACATGGGATCTGTTCTCATCTTTGTGTTTTATAGATGGCAACTGATGCCCAGAATTTTAGCTGCTTACCCAAAGTCACACAGCTAGGTGATTGGAGAGGAGAATCCAGAACTGAAGTAATATCTTCTGTTATGCCCAACCTGGGTGCTCTTTATTGCCCAGTTACATTTCATATGGCCTATCTTATAGCTGTATGTTTCTCTAGCTCAGATGCATCTAATCAAATGGCTCCATGGGTAATGCTTGCTCTTTAATTGAACAGGTCGAATGGGAGCAGGAGAAAAAAAGAATGCCTGTAGTGTCCAGTACCGACGACCCTTTGGCTGTGCAGTTCTCAGCATCGCTGACCTGCTAACAGGAGAGACAAAGGATGACCTCATTCTGAAAGTGTACATGTAAGAAACATGCACATGGTGGAGGCTGGGGTGGGTACAGGGGTGCATGTGGGTCCTACTTGGGCAAATGCTACTTTATGTGGGTAGAGAAGAACAATGGATGGTTTATGAGCCATTCCTCAAAACCCCAGTAATCTGTAGATTTGTTGCAAGTGAGCCCACAAGCCACAATTTGCCAGTCAGGAGAATTAATGAATCAAGAACCAATGAGTACAGACAGTTTACCAGTTAGGTAGACCATCTACTATGTGGGATACCACCTTTGAATTTATAAACCTAGCACGTCTTTACCTTCAGACAGTCAGTGTGTTCTTGGAAAGTGAAAGTGCTTTTTGAAGTAAATTAATTAGAATTGGGAAAGGGAAGCCCAGATGACTTCCATCCTACTCTAGGTGTTAGTTTGCTGGGCCTGCCATAACAAAGTACTACAAACCACGTGGCTTTAACCCATTTATGCCTGAGGTTGCAATTTTTAAAAATTTTTGCAATCACACCTTGGCGATGACCTTGAGCAGTAGGATATAAATAACTCCACATGCTTAGCATTCTAATTATGGAATACTAGGCATAAATAGATTTTTTTTGTTTTTTTT